TAAACATATCTATGCTGTTTCTTTGTTTACAACTGCGCTAAATTGGTCAGCAACGATCTAACCTAAATCAGCAACGATAAGTAATGATCAGTAATGATTGAACGTGTAAGGGTCTTCATGATCAAAGCGATAGCGGGCAATCTTGGAACTTCTTGTGACGTTCATTCATGAATTACCGTGTAGGGTCCCCTTTATACATTTCTGATTTTCATTATATGTAAATAGTTAAATAATTTTTCATATCCCTTGTTTATAATTTAAAACCATCTTCAACTATTTCTTTTAAATAGTCAAGTGGGCAACAAATTAAAAAAAAAAATGAGGAAACTTTACAATTTACTTTAGGAAAAAAAAAAAACTTTAACGTTGTGTATATTTATCAGTTCTTTTCCCATTTTCCTCAACAAATTTATTATTTTCGCAATACCTTTCCTTAATTTTTGTAAGTAGTAGACTTATATTTTACTAACTTTTATCAAAACGATATGAGACTAACCTTACTACTAGATTGGTTAGTTTACCTAGGTCTCGTTATTAAGTAAATAATTTCATAAAAGTAAATAGTTGTTTATATCCCTAGTCTATATTATTATTAACCATTTTCAACTATTTTTTTCTTTAAATAGTCAAGTAGGTAATAAATTGGAGAGAAAAAAAAAGTGGAAACTTCACATAAGTAATGATCAGTAATGATTGAACGTGTAAGGGTCTTCATGATCAAAGCGATAGCGAGCAATCTTGGAACTTCTTGTGACGTTCATTCATGAATTACCGTGTAGGGTTTGCTTAAAACATAGCAGAGTAATCGATAATTGCATAGAAAAAATCAGAATCATAGTGCAAAATAGACCTGGGCACTCTTGAAGTAATTTATTTCTGAAATAAATCATATGATTATTTCATGAATGAATTATTTCCGAAATTATGGTTATTTCTGAAATAGTATTCCAAATTCCCAATGTAATAATCTCGATGAAATAATTACTAAATTTATTTCTGAAGTAATTATTTCACTATTATAATGAGGCATTATGTTTAGTGCTGTTTGAGATACTTTAAATCTTTTTAGAAGTTGAGTGTGCCCGATTACTGTCTCGTTTTTTCTTATGCCCTCTTTAAATCTTTTTGTAGTTATACGGATTTGAGGCTTGAGATGAGTAGGGAAATAAGAAAAAAAAAACCGGCAAATAAAGACTAAAGTTTCTCAAACAGCAGTAAATATAATGCCTCAAGTCCGTCTAATTGTAAAAAACCAAAAGGGGCATAAGAAAATATGAAATTTCTTTCGGGCACACTCAGATCCTACAAAGATTAAAGTGTCTCAAACATCAGTGAATATAATGCCTCAAGTCCGTCTAATTACAAGGAATAATACGGAACATAAGAAAAAATGAAATTTCTGTTGGCCACGCAGTCTAGTGTGTGACCAAACTCAAGACCAAGACGAGACCGAGGCGGTCTTGCGTCAACAAACTATGGTCTTGGTCTTGGTCTCGGTCTTGCGCACTCGGTCCAGGTCTTGGTCTTGGTCTTGCGCTCAAGCGTCTCGCAAGAGTTACCTATCAGCTCATCAATATTTATTTAATATGTTACTTTAAATGTTAGAAAAACGCTAAAAAATAAGTACATTTAGATATTTTACGGACATAAACATAGTATAGTAAACATAGTATAGCCCAACTAAATCAATAACATTAAGAATTAAGAAAGAAAGAGATAACCCTCCTCCGTCCCTCCGATTATATGGAATGTAGTAGAGAAAATGTAAGTTGTTACCAATGATTTTAATGAATTAATCTAATGTGTCCACTTATATGACTTTCCTATCTATATATTTTTTATAAATACAATTTTAAATGTGTTCATTAGAAAAAACAAATAATTTAATTAGATTCATTTTCGTTAAAACCAATCAGTAAAATCATTAGGGTTCGATTTCTTGGATGAACCAAACTGTACACGGGCAAGTGAACCACTTTTAATATCAGTTTATAAAAAATAAAATTTTGTAACTTTGCTAAATCCGGTCCGATTCAGATGATTTTTGACAATTTTGATAGAAATTTAACGACCTTTTCAAAAAAATAGCCTTTACACAGACTCAGAAATGTTTAGATACGTTAAAAACCGATAAGATGTATACGTGGTGAGTTATCCCTAAAAAACAATTATCTAATCTTTATAACTTTTCTTCATAAATTGTCTCGGAGATTCATTAAATATACGAAAATATTATTTTGGATACTTACAGATTACGAACGAGTGCCGCACGTCCTTCACATTCTCTAGTTTTCTGTTTAGATTTTGATTGAAAAGTTCCTTCATAACGGACTGTACACACTGGCACCAAATGGACGTGAAACTTTTTACGTTCTTCTCTGGATTGAAACTACCAATACCCAATCAGGTCGAAGCAAGGGCCAGATTTTCTTGTTGAATTGCACGCTGTTGCATTTAATTAAAGTAGTGAAAAATATGTATGATAGAGGCTGCATAATTTTCAACTTCTTTAAGGACAGATTTACGTCGATTGAGAAAAAAAAAAAACCATTTCACATTATAGGTAATTTTGGAAGTTCCATGGTAATTCTGTGCATTCTCTCTACTGCAAATTTTTGGATTCCATCCATTATTCGAAAATTGTTCGAAAACATTTATTGAGGTGTCTAGATCAATAATTAACAAACAATAGTTGCCACCGTTAACAATAGAAGCACTTGGCAATTAATATTTGTCGGCGTTTCTCAATGCCTGTTACGCGGAGGTGAACATGATAATAACCAGAGGTGCCCACAGAGGAATTGTATGGCGGAAGTTGCGCCATAAGTTTTCAATTTTAAGAGAACATTTAAACCAGGAAATAAAGAAAAAATGGCACACTGAGGTTTGTGTGTATATAAAAAAATATCTGAGGTCGCCGCATACTTGGAAGAGCGGCTTAGATATGATTTTATCCTAAGTACTCAACACAAGCATTGTCTTCCGTATATCCAGTTGCAGCATTAATTCAAAGGGCGCCGCTTGATTGAAATATCGGTATGGCGTACCTTCATTTTGTGTGTATAATAAATACAACTAGTGCCTTGGCTTTGACTATAGGACACGGAAACAAATTTTAATTAAAGTAGCAACAAATAAAAAAACATATGAAATACTATCATCAGTGACAGGACGTATCAAATTTCTAAAAAGAAACTAATTAGGAAATAAAGACTAATTTCTCCATCCTCAAATTTATTGCCCCTTCCCCTATTTTAAAATAATTTACCCCCTTTTGACAACGCTCTCGCAATTATTTCAGATGAAATTATATTCAAAGAAAAAAATATTTTAAAAACAATAATAGTGAATTCCCGGCTGACATGGGTATACGCAGACGAGGGCAGGGGGGAACCTTGCCACCTCTAAATATTACTGATGTTACTTGTTGATTGTAATTGCCTAATGTATTGTGCCTTTAAATATTCTCGAGAAACAAACCAATATTATATCTGATATCTTTTAAACTAACATTGATATTACATCTCATATAAATACATATTAATTATATAAGTGAGAGTGGTAATAATATTATTTTTTGGGGAGAGAGAGGATAAGCCCCAGGGCCTTTTCACCCCTGGCAATAACTATTACGACCAGACTAACAATAAACGTTAATTCCAATAAACAATAAAGATTTCTGAGGAATTCCAAAAATAGATTGGTGAATTTGTTTATATCCAAGGTCAGAATTGACTTAAGTTGTACGTGTTGTTTCTATGGAAACCGAATGTTTGTCAGCTGATAAATTCCCGAACCTGCCGAAAAAAGTAATTAAAATTAAATTGAAATCCTCAATCCTATGCTTATGCAGATAGATGCAAATAAAAGCGATACGGAGAAAATAGGCTACATATGAGATCTCTTACTGGTACTGATATACTGTTCTTTTTTTTTACTTTCCTACCTTTACAAGGTAAGGAAACTATTGCAATTGGGTCAAATTTGCAATATGCAGTTTTCGACGGATCTATACGTTTCACAGCCCCCTGAGTCCGAAAAACACATTTTTAGCCATTGGTCTGTCTGTCTGTCTGTGCCAAGATTTTCTCGAGAACTGCTGAACCGATTGTGTTGCTTCTTTTTTTATTTTGTAGGGTTTTGACTACTGATGCCTGTGACACAAATTCGGTGCTGCAATAAATGAAAAACATGTTTTTCTATAGACTTTAGCACGAAAACGGCTCTAACGATTTTGATGAAACTTTCCTATAATGTTCTAATCATTGACCTTTAAATTTTCGTAAATAGACTAAATTCAGGAAAAAATTTTATAAAGAAAAGAAAAATGTTATGGGGCCTAACTCCATCAGTATATATTATACGGTAAAATTTATAATAGAACTGTAAGGTAACTAAATTACCATCAAAACAAAAAAAAATAATCATCAGAGTCGAACCAATATTAGCTATGATACAGCTTATTCTATTTTTTAACTTAGCCTGTCGTTTGAAAGGTAATGAAATTCCCTACAAAGCCATCTAAAATCGTTTATTTTGGACAACTATTAACGAAGTTACAGCTATTCAATCTCCAATGTAAGATTACGGCTTCATATCCTGGTGTCAGAAAGGGGTGAATGAGAGAATAAAGTGAAAGTAAGAAAATCTTTTGTCCGCATCACAGAATGTTTACTATTTTCTCTACTTTTAACATAAATTATTTTTTGACAATACTAAGCTATGGCAAAAAGTTTTTGATCAGCAATATTAGTGACTATTGAAATTTTTACACTGATCTACCTTAAGCCGGTTTGCATTGGTTTAGTTTGTCAAATAAATCGTACTCAAATCTTTTCTTTGATTAATTTTCAGGAAAATAAATCTAGTGCAATTCTTTTTTGTCTCTTCATGGACATATGTAAGGATATGAAAACTTTTCTGAAATAGGAAGGACAGTCGTGTGAGTGGACACACCAGATATTTTTGTATTTTGTCAATACTGACCTGACTGTATGTACAGGACCATCAGATGACGTTGAGGATCCCGAATCGGTGAAGAAATGGAACCGTCGGAGTCGGAGCCGGTGGGGGAGGTGCGACAGCTGGCGGTGCAAGATCACCAGGTCGTCACCCAGATTCCTAACCTCAAGCCGGTCTCTGCCAGGGTCCAGCCAGTCCACCAAGAGAACGAGGATCTCCTCTTCCTTAGGTAAATATACTCCAACTGTACTCAATAATAGAGGTCTCCAAAGTACTCTCAATCAGGCATGCTAAAGTGTCTTTGAGTATATGGTGACGTTTTTAAAATTATTTATAGCTAGCTGATGTGCATGTAGTTGGTGGGTTTATAGTTAAAATTTGAGAATATTTTTTTAAGATTTATTTTGTAAATTGGGGAAAGGAGGATCCAAATTCAATTACATAAAATTTGGTCGGGAGAGGAGAGGGGGGTTGTTATAATTTTTTAATAACAAAAACTTTCTTATTCGGCTATTTTTTTAGTTACCACACAACTAAACTGGCCACCACCGATCTATGAAAATTTGTTAAGTATTTAATTTCCGTTTATGATGAAGCGAGGAGATTGTGAAATTGATTAATTAATCAAAAAGGGTTGTAGTCTCTCTACTTCATTAAACTCTCCTGAGTTTAGCGCTGGTAAAATAAGCAAAATAACATTGGACATTGAATCACTTACATCCGTGTAAACTCGATCTGAATATTGTGGTGGGCTGGGCAATATTTTTGGAGATTTTCTCTTCCGAGATTTCCGGCTAATCCGTTTGGTTAATCCTAAAAATTTATACTACAATATTTGTTAGGCTCGGAAAGTTGAATTGAATGACACCTTCATTAGGAAGATCGGACAAAGTTGAAAAATGAGAGTGCTTTATCCGTTTTATGCGACAACGCGTTACAAATGTTCGGTATTCCGGATTTTTCCCGTTGAGTTGTGATAATTTTTTCTATCTGTTGAATAGTACAGCTTTTAAATGTGGCTCGCATTAGAGTAGATTGCGATTAGAATCGAAGTAACTGCCTATCCGGGATCTCTAAACAAATTAAACAAAAAAAGTTAGGCGCGGTTTTCCATAATAGGCCCTTGTGCCAGACACTATCAAATGCTTTATCAATGTCGAGGAAGATCAGACAGCAATATTCCTTTTTCTCAAAAGCAACAGAGATAACGTCTACTATCCGAAGGCACTGCTGCAGTTTCAAGCGAAATATAACATACATTAATTTCTTAAAATGTAATATTTTTTTTTGATATTCTGTTCAAAATTTGTGGATTTGTATTTAGGATACCCAACTATCGCACCAAGCTAAAAATTTTCGTCAATTTCCCGATTGATCTATCGAGATGTTAAGTATACATTCAAATATCTTCCCTTAGGATGAATAGTGTTATTTCTGCAGTCGAATTTTTTTTTAAATTAAATTATTTTTTATTAAAAAAATAATAGCTTGGAAAACATAAAAGAATGGCAAGTTAATTAAGAGAGATCTATTAATTAAACCACAAATTAACAACCTTGCCCTTTGTTTCTCTGTCTGTTATTCCAAGTTCATTTCTAATTTAGAAAATAATTTCCTTTTCTGCCAGAGACCGAATTCGTTGCCTCAGTAAAACGCTTCGTTCCCTGGCTACCAAGTCTTCATGAAGCAATCTCCCTTTGAGAGGAATCTTTCAAGTCTTGTATTTGTCAGTCTTTGTGGCATCTTTCTAGACCTTTATTACATTTATTTGTTAAATTTTCAATTTCGTTTAGTAATAATTACTGATAACAAACTAATGGCGTTTATTATGGGCAAGAAAATAATTTATTTTGTAGACACTTAAAAAAAAAACCTCTGTAAATTATTACAGGAAGGTTTATTGTTTTCAAATGGCTATATATCAAATATGTGTGGTATGAGACATTACTTTCGTTAGCACTTCGGCCATTGCTAATATTAGCCTGCTTAAGATTCTTCATCATTTCTAGGCTTCAATAGCTGTGCTTGTTTAGTGCTGCTTCAAGAGTATTAACAGATAAGAGTTTTATTTAAGTTTAATATTAATTTTCTTTTTTTTTATTAGTTTTATTAAGAGGAAATATCATTTTCTTCTTTTTTTTTTTTTTCCTTAAATATTTAATTTAAGTTTAAGATTTATTATATTTTTATTTTAAATGTCAGGTAGTAGTGATGGGAGAGGAAAGTTTCTCCAGACATTGAGATAAACGAGAATCAATTAACGTATGTAATGAAGATAGCTCTGCTAAAATGGTAACGGAAACAAATGTTATTATGAAACTTATTATCCTAGTCCATTGTACCGCAAGTTCTAAAATCCATGGTACTTCTGATTAAATCTATCAAAAGTTTTAATTAATTTTGTTTCTTGACAGAACAAATCATGGGCTACGACCTACAGCGCATTGGATTTAAAAATTCATATCCCCGAGGAAATTATCAATGTCAAGTTATATCTGTATTCAATAATTCGATATATTTAAAAGAAAATTAGTAAAGAATAGCAACACAACTAGATAATTGTTTTCTGCCTATATCTAAAATTCCGACGTAAAAAAAAAGAAAAAAAAAAAAAAAAACCATTTATTTGTTAAGAAATATAGGAAACTAAATAATTCTTCAAATAAAAATATCGATATAAAGTTTCCTCAGAGTAATCGAAAACCAAAATAAAGGACATTGCCTTTGCGATACTACACGTGTTAATGTTTAGAATGCTATGTCTCGGCCCCAAATCGCTTTCGATGATTTTTTTTATATTTTAAAACTTAAAAAAAACATTAATTCAATAGAAGAGAAGAATGGTTGGGGTGATCAGTCAAAAAAAAAAGGAGTAAAAAGATATAAGTATATTTATTTTTATTTTTGCAGAAGTTTTGGCCTAAAGTTCAGGCCTTCATCAGTGCTGGTCTAACCAAGGCATCCTTCCTTTGATCAGCCATGATGAAGACCTGAACTTCGGTCGCCGGAAAAAAAAAAAAAAATATATATTAATTTATATTTTTAATATATATATTTTTTGACTGATCTCTCCAACCATTCTTCTATTCAATTATTCACTACAGTCAATCGTAAATCTCCAATCATTAATATACCGTGTTTAGTTTTTAAATTATTTGCATATTGAATATTGCATTGATTGTAACATCTTTTTCCAGTTTCCTTGAGGGGGAGGAGGGGAAGGGTATCTTTTATAACCAAATATAAAGGGCTCCAAGGGGCTTCAGGAAAGTTTCATTTAATTGGCTACAGCCGTTTTGGCGTTGCACTATATTGCGATGTAGGTTTTTACGCCGCCATTTTGTAATGTTAAGTTGCAAAGATTATCCAAGGATTACCTCTGACATTGATACCCATTCTTAAAAAAATCAGCCCAGTCGTCACTGAGAAAATTGCGAACAGATTGATTTTTATTTATTCGGTTTTATTGGATTCTATATATCTTCAAACTTAAGACTTCAACTTGATGGAGAGAGTACCTTTTATTTTATAGATCGTTTACAGAGTTTCATTTTTGAATAATAATAAACCAAAAAGATTTTTAAAAAATCTAGTATGTAAGACACCACTCGGTTTTTGAGATCACCGATTTCAATGAAACTTTTTTTGGTGATACTGAGTCGAAACATATTTCACCAAATTCATTTTTTCCCAATGCGGTTTCGGAACAGAGAAAAAACCTATTCAATTTAAATAAATTATATTTTTATCATGTTTTTTAGAAATATTTAATTTTCTTATAGGGAAAAAATGACTTCATTGCCCAGAAGCGCCGAATCTCTAAAGCATTCACTGATTATTACACAATGGTTTACTATTTCCAAACGGTTATACATCATATGAAACATTCTTGTCACTTAGAGGAAAAGGAATAAAACTTGATGGCTAGTAAAACTTTTGCTTAGCCTTTGAGGAGAAAACTTTGGACAAGTTTCATTGAAATAGGTACGTCTATTTAGGTACTAGAGTCTGTATGGGCACAGGTTTTTCGGCCTCCAATTGGAAAGGTAAGGGTAGGTGGTAATGTCAAGTTGCGAGGATCGTCCTCGGATGCACTGAGACCACGATACCAAAAAAAAGTGATAAGTGGAAGTTGTGTGATGCGCGCACTCCACCAGATTTGCTGTTTCTAAAAAAGGTCATCTCATTCGTGACGAGATAATATGTATTGTTTCCTATTGCAGATCCCTGCTGCCCTACATGACAGGACTCCCGCTGGTCCAGAGGCTGTCCCTGAGGGCGGAGATCAACACCGCGGTCATCAAGGCCTGGGAGAAGAGAGGCAAGTCCGGTTGCGCCGAAAATGACGCCTTCGGAGAGTCGAAGGGTTCGTCGTAATAGCGCAATGGTCTCCATCTTACAAAATACACTATTACCCCTGGACACTTATTTATTGATATATATATATGGAGGTTGTGATGTATAAGTATAAGTTAATGTTGATAAATATGTAAAATAAATTAACTTACAACACGATAGCAAGTGTTAATTATTTTTAAAAATATTATATGTAACTACATTCCAATAATATTTACTTAAAAAAAATATGTACCATGAATTATAATATATTAATCGTCCACAAAAGAGTAGTTAAAAGAACAACTAAAGTTTCAGTCAACAAAATTTAAAAAAAAATCCAAGAGCTGAGTTTGTGAAATTTTGTGACATATTTTAAGAATACATTTAGTCATTCAACGTTATATTGTCAATTCTCAGCATTTTCGCTAGTCAAATTTGACAACTTAAAGCAGAGGCGTTTTAGAATGGCATTGAATGAAATGGGGGAGACGTAATATGGAGAAATATGCATTATTTATTGTTTTTTTTTAAATCAACATGATAAACACCTCACAGATGTCCGCCGAAGTTGGAATGAGCTCTGTACCAGTAGAAAAAATTCAAATTCCACGTTTTATTCACTCAATGATATACTTATGCACTGCATAACAACTAAGTTGTAGTTCATTTTTTTTTAAATTAATTTATTTATTTAGAATTATAACAATCTGTCACGTGGACAATAGTATATAGTGATACATGAACACATTCACACCATATATACAGAAAATATAAAATTAATAAAAGTAAAATAATAATCAAAAGCTATGTATAATAAAAAAATAAAATAACCTAAAGATAAGTATATTTAAAAACACAGTCATACCTTTTTTTTTTTTTTTTTTTTTTGTTCTTCCCTACCTCGCCTTCTAGGCTACACGGGATTTTCCCGGGCCGGGAGGGGGGGGGGGTGAGGGCAGGGAATTTAAAATCCTCTCCGGCACCGGGACGCGAACTCGTACTTTTTATATCATCTCAAATCTCTGTTAATCGGTTGCCAGGCAACTAGCGGTGCTGTGCACACGCTTTAGCCTATTCGGCCACCCCGTCCCAACACAGTCATACCTATATACAATATATATATACAATTAGGCAGGGAACCCTAAGCCAGCCTTCTTCCTCAACTAAAGAAGGAAAAGCAGGACTCCAAGAGATCCCTGCGCTACTCTCACAACCGCGTCACTGGTGCTAAAGTCAGTGAAGTTTGAGCGAGAGCGCTATAGCCACATACCCTCATGTCTAGAGTGGAGAATCTGGCCATTACCAGAACACCAAGATATACACTACAAAAGATCTCTGGGCCACTGCCGCTTCAACCTTCGAGGAGGGTTGTAGGGATGAGTGGAACTAGATAGGGTTTGTGCTAGGTGATTTGGATGATTTATAAGGTTCTGATGGAATTTGGAAAAATTTTTAGGGATAAGGTCGAGGACAAATGGGATATTAAGGTCGTGATGTAGGGTTATGTTGGATAAATAGAACGGAGCATCGACTATTGTTCGGAGGACTTTGGACTGAAAGGATTGGATGCGTTTGATGTTAGAAAATTTTGCTGGCCCCCAAAGTAGTTCATTAGGAATTAACAATTCTCTTTGATACCTGCAAAAGTTTAATAATGAGCGAACATTTTTTTTACTAATTTAATAAGCCTAACTCTTTCTAAAAGGTGTTTATGTAACATATAAAATGTACTCACTGTACGTAATTTATAGTGAAACATATAAATAGGTCTATACGTTTTCAATTGGGTATTTAAATATTGTTAAAAGAACACTCCCAGTTCATAGACCATACAAAGATAAAAATCTGGTGTGTCCACTCACACGACTTTCCTACCTATTTCAGAAAAGTTTTTATATCTCTCCATATGTTCATGAAGAAACAAAAAAGAATTGAACTAGATACATTTTCCTGAAAATTGATTGAACATAAGATTTGAGTACGTTTTATTTGATAAACTAAAGCAATGTAAACCGGTTTAAGGTAGGTAATTTATGTTAAAAGTAGAGGAAATAGTGAAGATTGTGCGATGCGGTCAACAGATTTTCTTACTTCCACATAGTCATCTTTATTCTCTCATTCACCATTTTCTGACACCAGGATACGAAACCGTAATCTTACATTGGAAATTGAATAGCCGTAACTTCGTTAATAGTTGTCCAAAATGAACGATTTTTATATGGCTTTGTAGGGAATTTCATTGCCTTTTAAATGACAGGCTAAACGTTTTTCATAATTGGTAATTGGTTGACTGTCGTGGATAATGAAGAGAAGAATAGTTGGGGTGGTCAGTCTTCATCGTCGTGTTTTTTTGTTTTGTTAGATTTCCTTTCAAAATTACCTTTCAAAATTAATTTAATTTAAATTAAATTACCTTTCAAAAGTTTTATCATAAATTTTATCGTAAATTATATACTTAAAGAGTTAGACCCCATAAAATGTTTCTTTTCTTTATAACTTTTTTTCCTGAATTTTTTCGATACTTTAGTCTATATACGAAAATTGAAAGAACAATGATTGGAACATTATAGGAAAGTTCGTTATAGTTAAAATTATAGGAAAATCCAAGTTATAGGAAAATCAAAATCGTTAGAGCCGTTTTTGCGCTACAGTCTATAGAAATACATGTTTTTCATTTATTGCGCGCAAGCTATTGCGCATGGAGCACCGATTTCTGTCACAGGCATCAGTAGCCAAAACCCTACAAAATAAAAAAAGAATCAATAAAATCGGTTCAGTAGTTCCCGAGAAAATCTTGGCACAGACAGACAGACCAATGGCTAAAAATGTGTTTTTCGGACTCAGGGGGCTCTGAAACGTATAGATCCGTCGAAAACCGCATGTCGGAAATTTGACCCGATTGCAATACTTTCCTTACCTAGTATAGGTAGGAAAGTAAAAAAGTGTGAAGTGTGGGAGCTGACTAGTGATGTACTCACAGATCACCCACTATTTCATTCATCTGACAACTGGAACCTTAATTCGTATAAATGTAATTTTGTGCACGATTAATGTAAACAGTACATTTTTTAACTAAATATTAATGGAATGTAATTAAATACAAATAAAAGGAAACTAAACTATGAGATCGCAGGACTTTTTGAAAAGAAATTTCACCTCTTTTTGACAACAATAATTTAAATAGAGGTCTAGTTTACAAGTGAAGACAACCTTTCCGCACAAAGGCTCCTGGAATATCTGTCTAAAAGATTGATGCAGGACCGTTGTGGTTATTTTCTGATATTTATCCCTGATAAAGAATTATCGCTTAATCTGGGATGCAATTATTTATTTGGTTGAACAGCCACCCGATGCTTATCATTCTAATCTCTATTACCCTAATTCATTTCTCCTTAAATTCGCTAACTTGGCAGTCCCTTTGTTCTGTACATGTTCCCTTTGCACCTTCGTAGGAGATACTCATTAGTATGAAGAGCTGTGGATGGTCTCCTTAGCTCAATGAGCCTTTGAATAAAGGTGGTAATTTCATAATTCCAGGCGGTCATATCCTATATCTTATCAGTATAACTTTCAAAGTGGTCCCTTGGATCGAACACGTCCTCTTCGCATCTTTGTGAGTGGTTCCGCCAAGTGTGAAGAGTGTATCCTGCTGGAGCTCTAAGTGCTAGAGCCTGTCCACCTCACATTCTATCTAAGCCAATTCCATTCTCTTCTTTCAAAAGGGCTAATAGAACTTAATTTTATGAGATAAAAATATTTGAAAGTCAGACAGAGAAAAAGAAAGATTAGAAAATATATCTTATATTTTCTCAATTCTATAGACCACATAGATCTTTGTAGTGCGATTTTATCCTCTTAAAGACGTATATTGCTTGCACAGATACCTGCATAGGGTCACCAAACCGCACGTTGCTACTGCTATGTAATGAACAGAGCAATGTTGAATGAAACCGACTTCTGACATCAAAAACAGCGTCAAGCGTAGAGAGTAGGTAGATAAGGACTGACCTATACCTGGATCCTGGGGAAGGCTTACAGTAAAAACTAGTAACGGGCTAGTGATACCTTTTCAGGTGTTACCAGGTATTGTGAAGTAATAGGGTGAAGTTAAGAACCAATGGAAAACATCCTTACCCCACCCTGAATATTTGTATATAATACGCCGAGAAGTAAGAAAAGGGGTCTTATGTTGATGTTCGGCATTGAGGATAGATCTTATGTTGATGTCAGCTCTTGAGGATGGGTCTTATGTTTTCTTCCGGCTTGGGGACTGAAGCCTTGGCCCAACATAGACCATGATGATCCTGACAGAGATTTGAACCATGACGAGATGATCTCGGAGCAGCGAAGCAGCGATGAAATCTACCAACCACACCACTTCATAGACAATAAATAAGTTGTAATTCCCAATCCTAGAGAGAATCACTTTATTATCATAAAAGGGTGCTGCCCAATTACATTGGGTTGCTTTAAACACAGCATACTTATTAATCGCTACAGACAATTTTCCAAAACTAATATACAATTATATAGTATTAACAACATGTATGAGCATAATATACAATTTTTTTTTTATCTATATATATATTTTTTTATCATATTTTTTTTCCTATATTTTTATTTATTTTTTTATTTTATTTTTACTATTTCTTTAATTCATTTATTAGCACTATACATCCCTTTCTGTTCCTTCTCTCACTCTATACATTTTTCTCGTTCTCTAGATTTTCTCCTCTCTTTTCCTAACCTAATTCATAACATGCATACAAAAACATAAAGTGCAGTGGACGTGGTCAATAAATAATGTAAAAATGCTGTAAAACACGCATGCCTCCCCCCATGAACAAACTCTCTATCCATGCACATGGTGATGGATAATTCCCAGGGAGTCAAGGATTATGTTCTCTGCCAACCTTGCCACGTCCTTTATGTCGACACTAAGGCCCTCCATGAAGCTCCTTGTTGAGTCTGGTATCGTTCCGCGAGTTCCGAACCAAAGGCCTCTCACGTGGAACTCTCTCGGTCCGAAACTCTCGCAGAACTTTTCACTAAGGAAA